TATATATGTGTGTGTGGGGGTGGGTGGGTGGGTGTGTGTGCGTGTGTGTGTTTCACAATAATTAAAGAAGTCGCAATTTGAAAGGGCCTGGGAGGGACATGAGAGGATTCAGAGCGGGGATAGAAAGAATGGAAATACTATAAACGCAGTACTGATGTATGAAGTACAAAAAAACGAATTTGCATTACAAAAAAAACCAAAATAGCCCCAAAATAGTCATGGAATCTTTGACAATCTGATTGTAGTTTCAAAACACTAATAAAGATATAATCTTAGGGATTCCCATATGAGTTTAGATTAGAAATGTATGTTCTCAATACCTGTGTCATTATTTCAACCAATAGAAAAACTTATCCAGATGTTTTGTCATCCCTATGGAGGACAGAGCTTTGCCAATATACCTATACATCAATTCTACTTTGAAATACCTTTACTCAACAACAAAAGTGAGTTTCATGAACACTTAGTACATTTAAATTCTATATAAACAGAAAAGCACAGTAACAGCAATGTATAATTTTTTGCAAAAAGATGTTGAAAGGCCATCTAAATGACATTAGCCTGAGTATGTTGTCTTTAAAATTGTATATTTGTTATACTTTGGTATTTCTGTTTTATTTAGTTTGAGTTTTGCTTTTATTAATTTTAATATACAAAACAATGGGTCATGCAATATTTTCATGTTATCATAGCATTTTGTTTATATTCCTTTGACAGAGTTTTACAAAGAGTAAGTCTCCATCCTTATCACCACAATAAACATTACTATTTTCTTGTGGAAAAGGAAAACTGTCAGCCACTCTTTTTGAGTGTATCTTACAGTAATATATACACCCTAATTGAGAAATAGAAAGTTAACCATTTCTATTTAGAAAAAAAGGAAGTAGCTGTTTTTCTTTCAGAAACCCACACCATGGTGTTTATGATCTAGAAAGATGATAGAAGCAGCATGCAAATTTCATCTCAGTGAGGTGCTGCATGTGGTGTGGGCACTAGGTCTGTGCAAAGACTGAGGTACTTCCCTGAGCCTGGCCTTCAGCAGACACAGATGCAGGCATTGCAGGCTGGAAGAAGGTAGGTGCAAGGATTTGGCTTCCTAGGCTTTCCACGTGATGACTTTTAATTTGATGAATATAGGACTTTTAATTAGATGAATATAGGACATCTAGATGGAAAAAATGAGATCACCTTTCACTGCACACACTAGTATTTTGATTTGGAGTTGAGCAGACATTTAAATGTAGCTGGGGAGGCAGTTTTCAATGCAAAGAATAAGGATAAAGAAAAGACAAAGGCTTGGTAAAGTGGCAGCAATATTTTGTTCTCCGGGTCTATGGCCTCACCAGCCACAGGTAGGTGGCTAGGTTTACAGTACCAGATATGAATTTCCTTCTATTGAGTATTCTGTAAAGCCATTTAGACAGCTCTTGGCTACCCCCAAGGCATACATGCCACTATTGTACCCCTGAGGATATCTTGCCATGTTCACCCTTAGATGAAGAACTGCAGACAATCACTGGCTATTTTTTGTTTGTTTGTTCGTTTGTTTGAAACAGGGTTTCTCTGTGTAGTTCTGACTGTCCTGGAACTCATTTTGTAAACCAGGCTGGCCTCAAACTCACTGAGATCTGCCTGCCTCTGCCTCCCAAGTGCTGGGATTAAAGGCGTGTGCCACTACCACCCGGTCAATTACTGACTATTAAGAGAGGCAGAATCAGTCTTCTCCAACAATGAGCTCCCTGATGGGTTATTCACTCCTAGGTGGTTATCCCTAAACAATATACGTACGAGCAATACTAAATGGACCCCACAGGTTGTATGTTTATAAATATGTATGTCTATATTATATATGGTTCTGTATTATATATAATCATGCAAATATATCAATAATAAATAAAAAGAGGTCATAAATATGAAAGAGAGTGGGGGAACACGGGAAAAGTTGGAGGGAGGAGAGGATGGGGTGTAAATGATGTAAATACAGTACTCAAGTATGAAATTCTCAAAAATAAAATAGTGACATTTAAAAAATAAAGAAAGTAAAAGAAAAGATAAAGGTCCCAACTGGGCACTGTGTGAGGTTGTCTTCTTTTCTATTCTTTTTCTAGTCCCAGGGCATCAAAAATCCAAATTATTGACTGATCATTTCACACACTCTTAATAACATTCTTCCATAATATTCATCTCTATCTCCTACATATATCTTGAAAATCCATCAGTTAAGACAGTATCTGTTCCATGCAGAGTTTGGTGGAGATACAGAGGATGGAGCCCGAGTGCCCAGTCTGATATGCTTAGTCTGCTCCTGAGTTGGCCTGTGACCAGGACTAGCATTTCTGGCTTCCTTTAGGGGGGCACAGGCCATGAGATGAGGTTGCTGATGCAAATGTTTGTCAGTGGAAGACACTGAGCAGAGTTTTAGCAGTGTGAAGATCAGAAAGAAGCTTGGAAACAATGGTGCCCAATGCACTCTTACACAGGCGCGCACTCAAAGTAATCCAGAGACTCTTAATAACCAGAAATTCACATCTTCATGTAAGAGCTAGGTTTTTCAGATCTCAGGCCAGGCTTTTCCCTGCTCATGTTTCATTTCCTAATCACCATCAATTATCAGAAAATTGTAGAGATTTATGAGTGTGTGTGTGTGTGTGTGTGTGTGTGTGTGTGTGTTTTCTATTTAACAAAAGAGAGGCTCACTCTTTAGATTCTTCCCCTTAGTCTTCCTCTTTAGTCATTGACTCACAAGGGGAATGTTAATAGACAACCAAGAAAGTCAGCATTCCCAGAGGTCTGAAGGTATTTCTGAGAGGCATCACAAAGGCCCTTTATAAAAAGCGAATGAGTCCTGCCTTGGAGTGGACTACACCCTTCACCTTGCATTTCCTTAAGAAGACCTTTGCCTTATGGAACATGAAAAGGAAGTACCAAGGCTGCGTGAATCCTCTCTTGCCTTGAGTAGTGTACAGGCAGGGAAAAGTTGTATCTGATGGAAACCAGAGAACGCATGAGAAGAGTGGTGGATTTCTTTGTCCTGGTGCAGTAGATAGGGAGCTGGGGGAAACCTCCCCAAAATGAAGTCAACTTGTACAAATGCTCCAACAACTGATTTGAAAATGAAGTCCAAAGTCATGGCTATCTATGTTCTAATAGTTTGAACATAGCATTCAAAACAAGGCTAAGAAAACAACAATACAAGAGCTTCTCTTACCAAGAGATTCAAACTGTTTGTGTAACTTATCTAAGCTAAAATTTTTATTGTATCATAGGAGGATTTAGTTTGGAATTTACCCTTAAGGCAGGAACCTGGCATTGAGTCATTTCAAGGAGTTCATTCAAAATTGCTCTCTTATTTCAGCACTGCTTCAGCTGCCATGACACCCATGAAAGGAATAGAACAGACCACCACAGAGGTGGCCCCTGGAGGAGCTCAGACTTCGGAGAGGTTTATTTTAAGGCCACAGATGTGGAAAGAGAATGCAGAGAAATTCTTGAAGGGGGAACCCAAAGTCCTTGGGGTAAGACTTTTTTTTTTTTTTGCTCTGAGGGGAGAATGATTTTATAAGTATATAAATGGTTAAAAAAAAAAAAAACAAAAAACTAACACCAGTACTCTGTCCCATGAGCCTCATGTTCCTTCAACACATCCCGGGGTCACTAGCATTTGTTTTTCAAATCTATCATTTGAAAATGGATATGTTATCCTATCACACCAGACTTTCAATTTAATTATGTTTAAAATATAGAAACTTTAGGTATGTTCTAGGCTGTGGATCATCCACGATGATCATCTAATTCAATGCAGACAAAAAGCTATGCAAGCTGCTGCCGTGGTCCAGCCCCACACCTACCCACTGGCTGGCAAACCCATACCGTTTTTATATATTTCCAGTGTCTTTCTTTCTCCTGCTAGTCAGATGTTGAGAAATCCTCTGTTTTCCACATACTTCTGTCTTCAGAAGAGTGTGCCTAAAAAAAAATAGAGAACTTCAAGGAATAACATCTTAGGCAGGTTTAAGGTCTGTCGTTAGACAGACACCTGTCTCTTTTCTACTTCTCTGTTCTAATTGTTGTAAATTTTGAAAAATGATCATTTTCATGATACATGTTTCATGTTCACATGGAATTTGTGTGTTTTAAATATATCAATAAGAATTTTTAAATTGAGAGCAGTTTTATGTTTACAGTATCCACTCCCCAGTGCTGAGAGCTTGGTTAGCGCTTGTGTTCTTCTATTAATTCCTTTAAGTGTTAATTAAAATAAATCATAGTAATATCATGCAATATTAATTCCTTTTAATTGTTCTATCTTGTGATATAAGACCATTCATAGTGGCTTTTTTTCCCCCTGAGATTTGTATGTGGTATTCTCAGGTAATTCCTCTAAGTATATTGGATTTGTTGGCCTCTTCTTTTGGGTTTCCACAGTGCTATTCCCTGGACAATTTCTGATAGTATTAATCATTTGTCTTCCTAGTTATCTTGCCTAGCAACTAATTGATTTTATCTATCTTTAAAGGAAAATAAACCTAGGTTTTGTAAGTTTTCTACATTGATTTCCTGTTTTGAATTCTAGCGGTTTTCACTCTATTTTTATTTTTCCTTTGGATTAAATTCTTGTCCTTTCTGGGGGTTCCCACAAATGAAAGTGTGGAAAATTAACTCAGTTTAGATCTGTCTTTTTTCATTGAAAAATTAATTAAAATAGAATTATAAGCTTACCCTCATCTCTTTTCTTCTACCAGCTGTCCATTTCTTTTCATAATCATGATATCTCTTTCTTTGAACATTATTGCTGCAAGTATACATACATATGAACATATATATATACATACATAAATATGTAAATGTCTTTTCCAATCTTTTTCTATAGCCCTATGCATTTCTTTTTATGCGCCATTCTCATTTCCTCCCACACATCTTCAAAAGTTGTTTATATTTTCTTTAGTCTTTATTATGGGGGTTCTCCTGTTTTTAGATCACCATATTTACAACCCTTCCTCATACTCCAAGTCCCCAAAGAAGATCATGTGTGCTCTTCATATTTTCTTCACTCTGCATCTAATTTTGTTTCTTCAAGTTGCTTCTTTTTGGAATAATTTCTTCCTAATTCCAGAGTCTTTCATATGTAAGCATGTGACAAAGGATAATTCAGTGGTAGAGATGCATCATGGGTATCATAAAAGGACCTCTGGGAAGAACTTTATAAATCCCCTCTAAGCTTGAAATTATTGAAACAAGTGTGTGGTGGGGATGTGTGTGTGGGGGAATGTAGGCATGTTTGTGTGTGTGTGTGTGTGTGTGTGTGTGACAGAGAGAGAGATTCTAAGGGAAATTTTTATGTTAGTACATCCCATCTGTATATGAAAATTATTGACAAGAGAATAATATTTCAAAATTCATCTGTGAATATTAAAGGTGGAGACAAAGGTAACTTAGTGGTTGGATAGTACTTAGCATGGACATCATTTTTGTGGTGGATAATGTTTCACTTTTTTGTGTCTAGGTTGTTCAAGTTATGATTGCTCTCATTTACTTCAGCTTGGGTATGATAGTGAACAATACAAAAGATATTCATATTCTTCATTCTCCATTATCAATGCACATATGGGCCCCAGTTTGGGGTTCAATCGTGGTGAGTATCATGCCATCTTACATAACTGGAGATAATAACATTCTGTTGTGATTCCATGAACCTTGGGTGGAATCCTCAGTCTGCTCTTTCAAGTAGTCTATAAGTTTGGGAACAGTGTATCTAAACCTTATTCAGGTTTTTTTCCTTTTTTTGTGTTGCAGTTTCAACATACCATTCACATAAACTAGGTGACCTGCTTATTTAATATGCCATTTAGGATACCGTGACATCATGTACTCATGTACTGTGACTCCCACAAGAGTTACTTAAACATTGGCACAACTAATTTCATCAGGAGTCTGGAGGCTAATCATTCCTAGGGTTGGTTATTCGGTAGCGCCTCTTGATGACAGAGCACTTTGCCTGTTGATGTATCTATTTCACTGCTCATAAATATTTTATGAGTGTATTCTTAAGTCAAGGATAATTAGCTCACATCTCTAACTTGGGGAAATTGAGACTGACTTCTGTAGCTGGGAAAGGATCATGAAAAAAGGGATGAAATCAGGGTGTTGTTAGCAAGGAAGAGGAGACAAAGCTGAGCATGCGATTAACAATGTCTGGCTAGTCAACTCTCAGTAAATGCTTATCTTAAGAGAATAGGAAAACTAGATAAATTTTGATTCAATTTTTCAATAAAATAACTAATCAACAATTTGAATAAGAATTTTTAAAAGATAAAAAATCTTTCTTTATAATAAAACTTAAGAGAGTTTCTTTAGAGTTCAGAGTGTCAAGTATGAATTATCAAACATTTTCTTACCTATATATTATGAGCAGACAAATGGAAAATAAAATGCATAAACTTGGTTATTCTACAATTGAGAATCCCATTCAACTGTTATAAGGGTTCTAGTTATTGATAAATGTGAGAATGAGAAAATTGCTATTTTGTAGACATGGCACTTTGATGTGCCCTTCCTATTTACAACAGGTGTTTAAGATTTGAGGAATGCAGGTTCCCCACCTGTCAGTCCATAGTCCTTGAGCTCCCAATAGCTGGGATCTGGGGAACCCGCATGGGACCTAACTAGACCCTATGAATGTGGCTTGATCTGTTGGAGGGGGCTCTGGCAGTGGGACCAGACTTACCCCAGGTGCATGAACTAGCTTTTTGGAGCCCAATCCGTGGTGGAATACCTTGCTCAGCCTTGATACACAGGGGAGGGGGTTGGTCTTTCCTCAACTTAGTATGCCACACTTTGTTGATTCCCCAGGGGAGACCGTTACCCCTCTGAGGAGTGGAAAGTAGGGTGTGGAAAGAGGAGAGGTGGGGGAGAGGTGAGGGAGGGAGAACTTGGGCTGGCATGTAAATTTTTTAAATTTAAATAAAAAAGATTTAAGGAATGCCACAGGCTCCCATACTTTTCAAAGTTGCACAGCACTTGACATATCAATAATAATATCAATGATTATGATAATACCACCCAAAACACCAGTAACAGCTTTCACTGCACTATAATCTGGACATATTGCTAAATGTTTTTGTATGTAATGTTCTGCTTCAACCAATTACTACAACTTCTGAGAGATTTGCTTTCATCATCATTGTATAAATGACAAAAATGAGACTAGGAAAGGTTAATATACTCAAGATGTATTCAATCCAGGAATGAGGACTCAGAATCTCATATATCTCCTCACCAATGTTTTGTGCTTTTATCTTTATTTCTTTTTTGTTTGTTTGTTTTTTGCTTTTTACTATGAAGTCTTTTTTATAGATTTTATTTAAATTAGAAACAATCTTATTTTACATATCAATCCCAGTTCCCTCTCCCTCCCATCCTCACATGACCCCCACCAAGCTCCCATCCCATCCCCCATCCACTCCCCAGGAAAGTTGAGGCCTTCTATGAGTGATCGTCAAAATCTGTCAAGTCATCTGGGGGATGACCTAGGCCCTCCCCCGTGTATCTAGGCTAAGAGATTATCTCCATGGGCAACAGGCTCCCTAAGTCCATTGTGCACTAGGGATGCATCCTGGTTCCACTGCCAGAGGCCCCATAGACTACACAGTGCTCCTAGCTGACACCCACATTCAGGAGGCCAGTTTTGGTCCTATGTTGGTTCCCCAGTTGTCAGACTTGGGTCCTTGAGTTCCCACTTGCTCAGGTAAGCTGTTTCTGTGAGTTTTCCCAGCGTGGTCTTGACCCCTTTGCTCTACTTGGAAACCAACTTCCACAGTTCATGATGGAGGATCGAACCCAAGGGCTCAATTTTTTATAAGGGTTCAGACCTGCATGTGAAACAATTGGTTGGCAGCAATCTCCCCAGCTTTACATTTATATCTTAGTTTTCATTTCAATGATGTGATCCTACTGATGCTCCCATTAACTTGTAAATCTTCTAAACAAAAATTTGAAAAGAAATGCAGGCATCTATGTATCCAACTAAATAGTTTAAAGAGGTCAATTCAGCAGGCAGTGCAGTGTATAAGAGACCCATTTGCTTTAGCCACCCACATGTTCTCCTCCTTGTATTATGACTATGTTATTTTAATAAGTACCATGTTGTAAATGAAAAAAGGAAGAAATTGAAAATAATTGCCAAATTGATAGACTCAAATGAGCTTCAATGTTCTTGTGATTATCTAATATAGAATTTAATTTTTGCCATTATTTTATTTATAGCTTCCAATATACATTTTCAGCATGAATAATTTCTGTTCTGTTTTTGTTTGGGAGTCATGTGAGCAAAATCTTGTTTTAAGGATTGCTCTTTAACAATTTTGATTGGACGATAGTTGTGTAATTAAAAAAGAAACCCTCATTCTTCCATTGACTGACTTCAGTCCTCAGTTCTTGTGGGTAAGGGGACAGTATGTGACAACTGAAACTGCTGTGAGGACAACTGATCACCTTAACAGATCTAGTTGATTTAGAAGTAAGTTTAGCATGCTATAATTTATAATAATTATTTAAAGATATTTAACCCTAATTTTTCCTCTTATGACCAGTTCCTACTCTCAGGAGCCTTGTCAATTTCAGCAGCAGTGATAACTACGGAGAGTCTGGTGTGTATTTTGTTTTATTTTGCCATAAAATGAGAATGATTTCATCAATGCATATTCTACTAAAATGTAAAAGTGGTTGATTCTATTTTCTTAAGGTCAAGGCTATGAGTTTTAGAAGGGTCTGACTTTCGAAGGTGTAGCTGAGCTACTGTTTCATAATGGGTCTCATCTGAGTGGATATTTCGTCAAGGCAGTTGTTAGAAGAATATTGGTTCTGGTGAAGTGAATTCTGGAGAAGGAATGTCAAGTTGTGTTAGACAGGTGAACCTTGAAGCTTCAGACCTATCCTGTGACAATGGCACCAGCTACTTTCAGGGGAGAAATATCACTGACTGACAGGTTAAAATGACTTCTACAAATGTATCCAAAACAATAGGGTTTTTAATTACAGAGGGCATAGAGATATCTTGGTGATTAAGAGCAGAGGACCTGGATTTGATTCTAAGCATCTACATGATGGCTCATAGAAATCCAATTCCAGGGAATCTGAAGCCTCCTTCTGACTTATGTGGGCGCCAGGCATGTACGTACATGCAGACAAATCCCTTATACATATAAAACAATAAACGATCTCAAAAAGACATTTATAATGGGATTTCTGTCAAAAGACTGATAAAATACAATAGCCAGGATTTCAACAATTATTTCACTAGCTAAAAGATGAATTTGAATTTCCCTTCCTGCAACAGGTAAATGTCAACTTCTGTAGCATGATGTAGAAGTGACCTTTCTATACCTGGGCTCCTATCTACCTCCTTAGCATCTTTAACCAGCTTTGACCATTAAAATGTACCTCAAGTTAGAGACACAGCAAGTTTCAGTTTTCTGAGTGGTTTTACCTCTCTTAGTAAAGCTGGTTTTACTGAACAACAGGAAGAAAATTGTGGAGCCAGATCTACAGCATAGGGGGAAATACGCAAGAGGGATATGGCTGTGAGTGATTATTAGCATTACACAAGGCGAACACTCGGCGTTTGTAGCAAAGTGTGGTGGGAAATGACAGATGGGGCTTTCCAGATAACGTGTCAAAGACTGAAATTTTCACTAGGAAATCTGAAGAGCATCTTGTGTCCTTGAGAATTGTCTGGGGGATTTAGTCTTAGGAACAACCAAATGTTTTTACTTTGGCAAGGGATTGGAAGTAAAGATACCATAAGGAAAGACACATCTACTTTTGGCAAAAAGAGGATGAAATGCATTTAAAAAAAGTCATGGTGTGTTTCAATATTGATGGAGCTATATACCAAGGATGCTGTTGAATGAACTGACTCCTATGCCTTTCTAGGTCGCCGGCAGTCTAAGTTTGAACATCATTAGTTCTGTGGTGGCTGCAGCAACAAGTATAATCAGTGCCATCAGTGTGACTGTTAGTGTAGCTGAAAGACTTGGTAAAATTGTTGTGGTAAGTATTTCCTCTGCTGTTGGGATGCAAAGTGGAGGCAAGGGCTCACTGATTCCTGAAAAAAAAAAAAAAAAAGACAATCAGCACTATGACTGTAAAAATCACTGTGGGGAGCTGGGAATGATTGGGAAGTAGAACAGTTATTTAGGGATCAGGTGACATTGGAATATTTCCCTTCTGTCTATAACTAAGTAAAAAGAAAACCGCTAATAGTTCACACACATAGGATCCCATATGTCATGTCCGACCTTGAGTTGGCACCCCAAAGAGACCCAAAATAAAACCAAGTTCCTAATAGTGGGGATTCCAAAACTCTTGGGAGAAAAGATATATTGTACAGATTATGATTTTACAAAACAGGTTTAAAACAATGAGTTCTTTGTAAGAAAGAACAGATAGTGTACTTGTTACCTGGAACCATCAGACAAGCCACATGAAATTGTCAATGATCAGCCAAAGTGACTAGAAAAATAACAATTCCTACATATACACCTGCTACTCATGTTGAAAATCTTCCTTTTGTTTGGTTTATGTTGCTATTTTCAGTTTGTGTGTTTGTTTGATATTTCTGGACATAGGGGGGGTGTCTTGCTTTATAGCCTGGGCTGCCCTTGGATTAAAAACTACCATCTCATCTTAGTCTTGGGAATATAATATAACTGAGCTACCAGGCCCAGTCTGTACTTGTTTATGTGAACTAAAATATGTTATGTGGATACTGTTTATAGATCATATGAGAGTGATTAAATATTTGTAAGGGAGAATTTGAGGCATACAGACCTAACTTCTGTACTCTCTGACTTTCAAAGACACTCTTAATCTGCCTATCTAGGTGGTCACATTTCTGAGGACCAGGCTACCATCTCTTTTACTTGCTGTTCTCCACTTGTGCCTGCCACAATTGTTACTGGTTTTTCATTCCAGTGTGGTTCCACAGTCAGTTCACACCCAAATAAATACATGGAGACATATATTAATTATAAAACTGTTGGCCAATGGCTAGGGCTTCTTATTGGCTAGCTCTGTCTTAATTATTAACTCATAACTACTATTCTATGTATTTCTACATGGCCTTATCTTACCAAAGAATGGTTGGTGTGTCCTAGCCTCCCAGTCCCTCAGTGGTAATCCTTTCTGGTGCCTCCCTGCCTATCTTTCCCAGAATTCTCCTCATTTCCTAGCCCTGCCTAACTTCCTGCCTCTATTGGCCACGCAGTGTTTTAATCATCAACCCAATAAGAGAATCATATACAGAAGGACATCCCTCATCACACAATGCCTGAAACACGGAGGCTACTGGATCTGTTGGGGCAGGAACAAGGATAAAAACAACAAATGCAAATATTCTCAGGGCCCACTGAGTCAGTATCTCTAATGTGCCAAGATCCTGATCAACTGACTAATTCATAGGAGAGGGAGCATTTCTGATCACTGAGAGGAAAAGACAGAATATTCAAACCCAACAATTCCAGGCACCAGTTCAAGGCAAGAGAATTCAGAACAAATAAGACACCTTTTGTTCCTCTGTTTTGATCCTGTGGCTTAATGAAGAATCAAACAAAGTCAAGTACATTGAATACTAAAGAACATGGTGTTCAACACTCCAATCATTTACCATAGTTGTGGCAACTGCTGTCAAATTAGTGCATAATCCAGAGGTATTGCAAGATGACAGAAGTTCAAAATGAGTATCAATTGCATAAAATCAAAATGTTGTCAGGGCTGTTGTCCTTCCTGGGAGATTTAGGGAAAGTTAATTTTCTTGGCCTTTGTGTTTCTACCTCCCATCTACATGTATTTCCACCTACATCCCTTGGCTCATCATTCTGTCCTCAATTTTCAAGGTTAGCACTACAGCATCCTCAGTCACTTGGGTTTTGATTCTTCAGCATCTTGCTTCTACTTGTGAAGATGCTATAATAACTTGGATACCCTGCAGAGGCTAGGATAGTCTGCCTAGATTGTCTATAAACAACCTTCATTCCCACTGAAAACTAGGATCTCCCCATTCCAGAGCTTGGTTAGAAAGCCAACGTGAAAGACTATTCTCCTCAAAAGTGAAATAATAGTATTGTTTTCTCCTTGTGAAATTTCTAACATCAGAGCATAGCAGGCTCTGGGGTCTCTGATAATTTTTATTAGTAAAAAAAAAGGTGAGAAAATAAATGACATTCATGAGTCCAGGAAATTGTGTTAAATGTTGGGCCATATCAAAAGCTTGATTTCCAAACCCCTAGCCAGGGTCTTTCCTCTTTTGGAACAGTAGTCGGGGGGGAGGGGGTTGCATATTTCAAACTTATCATCTCCACTCACTATTCACATTCCTTTGTATAAATCTGTTTTTAGGGTATAGATGCTTTGATGCTCATTTTAAATATGCTAGAATTCTGCATTGCTGTATCCATCTCTGCCTTTGGATGTAAAGCATCCTGCTGTAACTCCAATGATGTAAGTAACAGTCCTTGTTGGATGATTTTTAGTAGGTTTCTATTGCTCTGTAATCAGTCACACAAATTTAGTAGCTTTCAAAGACACATCTTCATGTCTCTTAGCGTTCTCAAGTCAAGACCAACAACAGCTTATCTGGGTCCCCTGCTCAGATGTAAAAGGCTATGTTACCAGGGAAACTGAGATTCCCTTTGTGGTTCTTAGTTTTATTAATAAAAGAGTTTAGAATCAGACTCAATAGGAAGCTCAAGAACATTTTTATGACAGTTTGAGGGAGAGCAAAACAACAGGAAAGACAATCTGAAAATCCATGCAGCCTTCAGACAGAGGGGAGATGAGAGAAAGATCGAGAAAACCCAAAGAGTCTGGGAAAACATGTGTAGGATTGCCAAGCCACAGATTTGCACTCAGAGGTTACCCAATTCCAGATCCTTGCTTTGCAAAGCAAAAGACTGTACCAGAGTCTCATGCTTAGAAATAGAAATAGAGATCATTTATTAAAAGAAGTATTTCTAAGAATAGAAGTGGGCTTGTGAGCTGTAGAAAGAACATGGAAGGCATCCAACTACAGAATGTAGCATCCTTTACAGGACTGTTACAGACTCTGCATTTTTTTTGTTTGTATCGCATGGTTCACTGACAATCGTCCCAACCTAGCACGCTATGTTCCTTAGGTGAAACCCAGATGAAGAAGGGTTTCCAGTCTTCTGTACACAAGTTTCTTTCATGTGCTAATCTTTTTTATTGTTTGAGAATGCCATATTTGTATCTAATGTGCTTTGATCAAATCCAGCCCCATTTTCTCCACTCCAAGCCCTATTGTCTTGTATAAAGTGTGCTCAGGGAGTTGACTGGGCTGTTGTTTATCAGAAAATTTCAGTTTGTGCACACCTGGTCATTGTCTTTCCCCAAGGACTGAAGCAGATGTTCTTGAGCATTGAGAAGAAAGAAGGTCACATAACAAAGTGACAGACTCAGGAGAAACAGACCAGGAAGTAGACCATGTGTCCTCAAAGCTTCAGAGCTTCAAGTAGAGAAAGTGAAACCCAGTAATTTCTCCCTAGATCTGAGCATTGCTGCTCCTGATGAGCTTCTGAGTTAACCTACAAGAGCAGGGGCCTAGGGGCACAAGATGCTTAAGTGCATACATTTTCTTCATTCTATCACTGCCCACATCTCTTGAGTTGTGAAGGACAGAATTTTCTCAAGTCTCATGATACTTCTGCCATTCTGGGTTACTGTCACATGTGCAGAGCTTTGTTCATGGCTGTCACATCGAGGTCTGGATGTGATGCTATCTGCAGGAGTAAACTAGTTTGAAAGAGCACTATTATCATTTCCCATAACACCTTGTTTCACTTAAGCCATTTGCCTGGAAAATTGATACTCCAAGATGTAGCTGCCAACATCAGCTTCTCTGGTCAAACTCTGCCATAGAATGAGTATCTTATGTGTCCAATACCTGATCTAAGTGGTGCCTGAGACACCAACAGGGGTGATGTGTGATTGTTCTCAGTAGCAACATTGTAGACACTGGTAAAGGTGACATCATGGGGTAAGGAAAAGGAAGCGCTGGGTATATTGGGTGACTCAATGACATTTTGATTCATTTCACAGGTTGTTGTAATTCTACCACCAAATCCTGCTGTGCCAGCAACAGTGCCTCCTGTGATACTTCAACCATTGGTACCACCAGTATACCAAGAAAGAAATGTTCCAGAAAATCTATACAAGAATCCCACTGGAGAAAGATTCCTATTCTAAGTGTGTGTGTGTGTGTGTGTGTGTGTGTGCTCGTGCGCGCACATGTGCGCTCATTACTTGTTTCCTGAGAAATTGACACTTCACTGCACTGCATGTTGGTGTGAATATCAGATCTGCTATAAAAAAATAAACCCAAGCATTTACTAGGCCAACAATACCTGAATATCTTCCATTTATTGTATGTACAGGATATTGAATTGGCAAAGAAGTTTTGAATGTGAACTGAAAAAAAAAACATGTTAGTGAAATGAGTTCTTCAAGAAGTGAAGACTACGGTACACATTTTACTTGGGGCTTTTGCTAAATAAGTAGATTTAGTTACTCGTGATCATGTAAAGAGACAAAGTATATAAGACAACAGGCATATTAAATCACTAACTAAAACAATCAATTTAAATCTCTATGTGCATGTGCATCACAGAATACCATAGTGTACACTTTAATTGGTATGGTGAAAAGTTACAGTGAAGACAAGTGATTGAAATCAGAATACCTGATCCCTAATACACACACACACACACACACACACACACACACACACACACATTTCCCCTACAGGCTTACATGTTTGAACACTTGGTCTCAAAATGGTGCCGCTCTTCTGAGAGATTGCTGAATTTTTCAGATATGAGGTCTAACTTGTGAAAGCAAGTCACTAAAGGTTGGCTTTGAAGAGGTTCCACTTGCTGGGGAACCAGCCTCCAGATAGCACAAGGCTCAAAAGGAATCAAGGCATCGGTGTATACTAGATTTTTCTATCAAAGGGGGTTAAGGAAAAAGACATTTACACCCTCTCTTAATAGTATCCTTCTTCTTTTATTCCTCCATGTACTTCTTTTCTAAAGCTTATATAGCCCAACAAAGTTTGGGATATATGTATGGATTACAATGTGGTTAGATTCTACTTTTCACGTGAATGACTATAATGAATATAGATAAAACATATTTTTCATCTCCCTTACATGATTAAAAACAAAGTCACCCCAATAACCAATATACATTTACATCTAGGTGGCTTGTTACAGATTAACAGAACATGAGCAAACAGGAAGTATTTCTTCTCAGACAACTCTTTTGTTGGCATACTGCATATTGAGGTTACACAAAAAGAAAAGAATCAATTATCTTACTATTTATCTTGAAAATTAATAAAGGAGTCTTAAAGAAATCACAAACCTGAACTTTTTCACATAAGAAACACTCAGTCAGCTGTACTTTAAGGCTTTAGGGTGCATATTCACTCATCAATGATTTTTTTTATATCAGGAGGGCAGGAATGGGTACAAAGAATTAATCATCGTCTTTGATCACCAACCAAACCTAGCAAGGAAAGTATGTCAGCTAGCAACAATTGGGATACTTTATATTTTTGACCTTAATCTAATGAATTTATAATTCAACTATTTGTCATTGTGAACTTTAGATTATTTTCTGGGGTTTTTCATCTTAAAGCTATTATCAAAATATCTGATATAACCTGAAGTTATTTAAGGCTTTGTTTCATCTCACGATACACCCTGAAACCTGTGACTGCATCTCTCAGCATTAAGATGAAAGGAATTTGAGCCAGTCTGGCTCCTGGGACTCAGTGGTTTTCCTTAACCATTAACTTAAGCTGTAATCTATGCAGCTCTTTAAATGCAACTCATAGGCCTTAGCTGTGTAACATTTCCTTGTATTTATTTTTATTTATCAAAACTCTGTATAAGCTAACATTATTATCAGTTAGACAATACAGCTTAGGGAGGAATCACCTTCATAATAATCCACAGGTTAAAAAAAAAAAGCCCAGTATATTTATAATGAATATAGACAAAAACATATTTTTCATCTCCCTTAGATGATTATTACATAGGATGTTTCCATGAGATAAACACACTACATTACAGGCAGTGGGGATCTCCCCTCACCCATTCACACCATGCCAGATACCAGAAATAGATGGCAGCACTACACAGGTAAAGGCACAGCAGAAGCAAAAGACATTCTGAGGTCTGTGGTCTCTGAGCTTCGCCTGTCTGAGATTGGCCCATCAGACAGTTTCCACCTGGTGGGCTGGCACCTTGAACTTCAATTACCACCTGCTGTTCCTCTGGCATGGCCACCAGTACATACTGCCTTTCCGTTTCTTCATGAGCTTTCTGCTTAGGGGCAAGCCTCACTGAGAGACTCTGTCACATGTGACTGCTGTCCCACCATTTCTTCCTCCCAGTGGCACCATACCTGCAGAAGCCATTCGCTAAAGTAAACTTCTACTTTTTTATTTGCCTTTCATCTGTACTTTTACTGGAGTGATCAGGAACGTAATTAATATACTTACTTATTATTATCAGTAGTACATTCCAAAGTTTATTAACATAATCTAGTATAAAATCCCTACTTGGCTGGAGAGATGGCTCAGAGGTTAAGAGCACTGGCTGTTTTTCCAGAGGTCCTGAGTTCAATTCCCAGCAACCACATGGTGGCTCACAACCATCCCTTATGAGATCTGGTGCCCTCTTCTGGTGTGCAGATATACATGGAAACAGAATGTTGTATACATAATAAATGAATAAAATCTTTTAAAAAATCCCTACTAAATTTACACCACTGTTCACAACTTATATGTATATTATATATAATTTGGCTAGAATATATCTTACATTTACTCATATATTCAAATCAATATGGTTGGCTTATAAATAAAGCTGCCTCTCTGGTCTTTTAAGAGTGCTATCATCTAGATGCTTGGGCCATTTCTCACTCTGGTTTCATTTTGTATCTGTTCTTGCACTGTTTTGTAATTTAGAGGGCTAGTATGGATTGACTGTTTTGTAAAATATTCCATGTCTTTGAAATATATCCCTAAATTCAGATGTTGATATTCTAACTTCCAGTGTTACAGAGAATTTATGGGGTGTCTAAGGTAGGAGAGCAGATCACTCATGAATGATGCTAGTGTCCATAGATGCAGACAAAAACACAAAGCAATCGTTTTAAGACCAGTACCAATAAGACAATGATCGATTTGAAACTGTTTCAAGTAAGAAAAATGAGACATTTTCCCTTACTGGGGTTACTCAAATGCCTCTGGAGTCAGACACAGCTGCAGATGTGTTTCTGGTCTGTAATGTGTCACACTCACTAAGAATCCCAACACTTTGCTCAATTCTGTTTCCTTTCAAGCAGTTCTCTCTTTGTTCTTTGTGTCACTTCCTTGTTCTTCTCCTTATGGGAAGTGAGTTCTCAGCTAAGGATGGGACATCCCAGTCAGTATTGAAAGTGCTTATGTTACACTCTCAGCCTTTGTTCTCTGAATCTGGCCGACACAGGAGCAGGTGGTCAGGCTGCATTTGCAATTGCATCTTTCCTATTTCCCAATCACAGTTTAGCCACAAGACATTATGAACAAGACCAACGTTATTGCAAAGTAATGCATTTTTCCTTCTCCATTTGAAGCATGTTTTTTCTTTTGTTCTTTCCTTACCAAGAGAATAGAAAGTATACGCAGAGGAAAGGAAAACATTTTTCTATACCTACAAGGTTTCATTTACTAAAATTGTAAAGAATTCATTCAATTTTCTTATCCTGTCTTCACTCTTACCCTGGAAGTGTGCTTCGAAGAAAACACAATTCTGTGCTTCTCTCTCAAAAAAGGAGATGCTTGGACCATGGTGACATGGTCTAAAAGACTGTTTTCTTTCTCATCTGACACAGAAAAATGACAGGAAATAGACAGCACAGTGTTGGAACCCTACTGTCTCCCCACTGGTGCGATTGCAGTTCTTCAGTGACCAGGGCAAAAAGAGATGCTGAGTTCTAAAGGACAAACAGTGAACTGGTTTAACTGGGAAATTACACACAGAGAAGAAGCATCTCAAAAATGTTTCTGAGTAATTCCAGAGTCTACTCCTATTTTCTTGCTTGGTGTCACAGTCTTACATACATTCCTTCTTGAAGTAATCGAGGAATAATTTAGATTTTATTGTGTGTCTGCAACCATGAACAAAAGTAAAATGAGGAAGTAGGCTGGGGATTTAACTAAACTTAATCTGGCAATATTTGGCACATTGTTCTTTTTAGAAACTTCAACAGCTGTAGTTGGGCATCTATAATCTAAAAAAAACACCTCTCTCTACATATATATATGTATATATATATATATATATTTAACATAAATAATTTTTTATATGGAAATATTTTGCATCCTCAATGATAATGGTTTTTCAAAGATATAAAGTTTTACAAAAACGATGCATATTGTTTGATTTATCAGTACATTTACTAACACAGTTGTTGTTCAGTGATGTTTATCAATTAGTGAGTTGCAGTAGCAGGTATTCAGTCATTCAGTCTAGTGAAATGGATAGGTAAAATCAGGAAAACTATGAGTGTATATGTAGTTCAGCAAGACATATGTGGTAAATGAATAATAAATTGATGATGAATAAATTGAAGATGAGTTGAAAAGCAGTCAAGGGAAATGACAAGAAGAGGTCATGTATAATACATGTAGATAAATATCTACTACAAATTTGGTAGGTCTGGGCATGAATGCCTAGAATCCCAGTACAAGGTCAGCCTCTGTTACATAGTGAGTTAGAAGTCAACCTGGGCTACACAGGATCCTACATCAAAGGACCAAAGAGAAAATTGGTTCAAGTTGTTAACACCTTAAAAGATAGTTAAACCGACAACAGTTGGCTGATATATTGAGTTTTTGAGTCTTTAATAAAACTGAATATCAATAACATTGTGGGAAAGGGAAGCAGTAATATAGAAATCTGAATGGTGGAAGAGTAGCAGAGGCAAACTACATATATAAGCTTATTCTTAGACTTTAATTCTGAGAGGTTATAAGAGTGATTAAACGAACTATAAGAGTGAATAGGAGAACTATTTTGAGATAGAATTAAGGCAGGTTAAACTCCTATACTTAAGCCCGGCATTGGTGGTGTACGCCTTTAATCCCAGCACTTGGGAGTCAGAGGCAGGCGGATCTCTGTGAGTTGGAGGCCAAG